TTTCAGCATCTATAAGTTACATTATGTGTATTAGATGGGATCATGGAGGTGCTGAGTTAAGGTCTGTGCTGTAACGACCACAACTGTTCAGAAGAGGAAAGGGGGGGACCAGAAAGGGCGACTGACAGTGTGGTCAACAACAATTGGTTCATTATTTGGCCAAAAGGGCACCTGCTTTGTTTGGGGTAGGTCTGGATTCAGGGAGTGATGTCATGAGACAGCTGGACAATGCAGAGCAAACAGGAACTAAATGTTTGTCCACTCAAAGTCAGCAGTGTATGTTATTCAGATTTTTTTATTCCTGTTTTAAAAATTGGAGACGTTCAATGTAGACTGTGGCAGCTTGTTGACATCGCAGAGGACAGCTGTTATTTTTCAGTTGGAGATGGAGCACTTGATTGATGAGCTTCAGACATTGGAAGTCTAATCACTCAAGTAGAAAGCAGCTATACCACACAGACACCAACAGAGGTCCCTGTTGTGTGGATAATACACTCGGGTCTGCAGCTGCTAGGGCAGCAGCCTGGGACACTAACTACAGCTGATATAAAATAAGTGTAGACATGTTTAATAATCGAATACTCTTAATCTTTTTTAAGATGTAAAAAGAGCACTCCATCACTAAAATAAACATTTATTTTACTGAGAAATGTGCAAAGTATTTTCTTTTATTGCTTGACTTAAAATACTCTGATATTCGCTGCAAGTAGAACTATAGACTTTAAAACTTTGCAGAGAAAGACGAGAGGACTCATGTACACAACGTTGGTCCATTACTTTTAATCCACACAATGTCCAATGTTACGAATATCAATAAATCATTAATCTAATATCTACAGTGCATATATTTTCCTTTCTTTACTTATATATTTCCCTTTGTATAATCAATTTCAAGAACAACAATTGCACAATATAGATTTGTGAGATTCCCTCCTCTGAACTTGGCACCCGTACTTCCACTGGTGATGCATACTTGTTGATGAAGCACTATTTTCTGCAGCTGAAGAAGACGGAAACCACTTTTTTTCCAGTCCTAGTCCCTCTATTTTAAACTGTATCCATCCAAAGCACGCTACTGTAGAACCGAGTCTTACATAATACAAATTCATAGCTATCTGCAGCCTGCGGTAAAGGTATAAGCGGCGGAACAGGGTCACGTGACTGTTGCAGGAAGCGTGTATTGATGTTGTATCTTCCGTGCCACCAAGGGCCAGGTTCGTATCTAATTTACTTTTTACGCTGTCTGTCAACTGCTGTCACACGTGGGGGGTTTTGTACTCGAGTCTTATCAGCAGTTGTGGTGAAACTGCAGTAGCAGATTTAAGAAAAAGGATTGTGGAGCATTCTTTGTTTGTAACGTTAGCGGAAGTGAAGTTTGACAGCTAACTAGCAGGTGGAATCGTTGGATACATATCGACCTAACCGTTCGTCTGTCGGTGTGTGTAAAGTAAAGTAAACGACAACGACTTGTAACGTTCATTGATGAATTCGCTATACAGTACATAAACGGACAGTTCCTGTGTTTAAGATAAAATCACGTTACGCTAACGTGACTACGCTAGCGTAACGCTACGTTCACCAGACCAGAGCGGTTGGGAACGTCTTTCATTCCTGATGCCACCGATAGATAATCCCCTTACGTTTATTTGTGTGATGTTTTGTTTCCTGGTTAGTGAGACCACAGTGGCAGGAAAACAAACACCACTCACTGCTTAATGAAGCACCCTTCTTTATGGTGCAAGGTGGTGTAAATACAGCGGCAAGCTGCTTGACGAACTTCCCTAGTAAAGTAAATTAATATTAGATTCGTAAATATTTGTTCGATCCCCGGAGGAAATTGGGTTACGTTACGTTACAGTTGCTCCTATTCTAGTATATGATTGTATAACTTAAAGAAAGTATAATAAAATATTAATTAGGAATACGTATGTAAAATATGTGCCTTATACTACAATATAACAACAATACATATGAATAAACAGGAAAAATAACTGTAAAATATGTACACTACAATATATAAAACAGAACAAATTATGCTAAAAATGTGATCTATGAATAAGTGTGTAAAATATGCATTAATAATAACAATAAACAAGAATATTACTTTAAATTTACGGTGTAATTAAATGCATTGTTCGCCAGAGTACAGTGCACAGTTGGATTATTATACTAAATTATTGCACTGTTACGTCAGTACTGCACAGTTGAAGATATTGGGGTTACAGCTGCTGACAGGTGTAAACAATAATAAATATATGTTTGTATGTAAATACACAACACTTAACAATCGAAGGAACACTTTCTACCGTTTTGAGACGAGGCATGGGAAAATTTGATCGTAAATAACATTTCATCTTTAAGTTGTTATTGTCTGTGTGACAATATGAAATGTCTGTCATAGTTTGAGCAGTTTATAACTAAATGTTCAGGTTATCGCATGCAATAATTTGTGGGCGTTACTTGGTCAGCTTGATGTACTGTAGGCCCAATCCCAATGTCCCTCAGGGACTTACTGACGTCACCTGGTAAGTGGTTCAGTGTGAGATACTGTGAGAGCTTGAAATGGTGTAAATAGGAATGGGACAGCACTTTGCTGAGACATTTCACATTACCTTGATGACACCAAAACATGTACAATTGTGGGAGTTTATTTTACATTTTTTACTGTCTGATTTGAACGTCTTCCAGGCTCTTACCAGATGAGAGGTAAACGTCAAACTATTCACTCGTATTTGTTAAAACGGTTTCAGTAAGCGAAATTAAAATAAATGGTTGATAAACAAACCAGGTGTGTAATATAGTCTCTGCTTGCGTTCCTCTGATTTCATGTGTTTCTATGTACCATCCTAAATCCTTAACGTTAATGTTTCTGTGTAAATGGAATATGCCATCCTCTTCATTTGTTCACACGGCCAGGCTTCCTCTCTGGTTACCCCGCGTTTAACGCCACAACGCTATGAATCGATGTTAAGTCCATCAGGCAAAGTCTGCAGAGATGCAGGCTTACAGACAGTGTGCATAAAGGGCTTAAAATGACTGTGAGAGAGCCCTCAAGAGGGGCCGGCCCTAAGCCCTCACAGACTTTGCAGGAGTACGCCTCAACGTCTGTGAGTGTGTGAGTGTGGACGTTGGGATTGAGTCAGAGACTAGCTGTTGATGGGTTTAAAACCCCCTTCCACTCCCTGCTGGTTTGGGATAATATGGCAGACCCTCCACGTGTATGTGCAAACAGAGTGGAAGTGGATAGGAGGGGGTGTAGGGCGATGGCTTGGAATTGGGCTGACGTGTGTGTGTGTGTGTGTGTCACAAGCCTTGCTTACGTTTGTTTAAGCTGCTATTTAAAGGCACATGATTTCTGGGAAATGCAAAACATTTTTGGCTCATAAAAATTCCAGTTGTCTCTTTTAAAATTAATCAATATATTGAACTGGAACATCTGGCAAGAAAATCTTAATCGTAGTTTATGCTTCAGAAAAATCTGAATGTGCAATCTGAAAAAATAGGCTACAGTATATAAACCAGATGAGATGTAATAACCATTCGTACATAATAAAATGAAGCTACAGGAAGCTATATGCTCAGTCTGTCAGTGTTATCACTTTGACCGTTGGACACATTTGCATGTCTTCACCTTGTTATTCATGTGCTGAGTTAAACGGACTATTGAGGTTGAACTTCATTTCAGCTTGATTTGCATGGAGGCACTGAGGTGGACAAGGTGCTGATGACGGATACATTTACAGCCAAATTAAGTTGGGCCATTGTGGCTAAGTGGATAGCAGGGCCATCTTTCAATCAGAGGGTCGGCGGTTCGAACTCCGGCTCCGCTAGTCGCATGTCGATGTGTCCTTGAGCAAGACACTTAACCCCAAAATTGCTCCCGTAGCTGTGCCTACGGTGTAGAAATGTGATAGACTCTGAATTGTAAGTCGCTTTGGATAAAAAGCGTCTGCTAAATGACTGTAATGTAAATGTAAGTTCCTTTAAATCTTCACTATGTGACAGAAAGTGTCTTTTGGATGCTTTTGTCATTCGCCAGCTATTCACCAGGATAATACTGCACACCTTTTTTTTTTTGCCAAACCATGTTCCAAATTCAATAGACATGTCGGCTAAAGATTGTCGGTAACTTCAGGCTAATGACTTGAATATTAGTCACAAAGCAGGGCGGTTGAATAGACTCACCATGTCCTTATGATAACGAGTGAATAGTTTAAACATCCTGGGCAGAAGACTCGTGTTACTTACTGCAGACCACTTGGCTGTGACAAATGTGGCCACAAAGATTCCTTTGACAAGTCCTCAATGTACATGTGGGCAATGTGCTCTGGTTTAACGTGGCAACACTTTAAAGGAAACTTCCTGAGAATTCCACCAGAATAACATTCAGAGAATAACCGAATGTGTGCCGGTCAGTTGAGGATCATCACTTCAGGACATGGAAAGATGCCCTTTCTGCTCATTCTGTTTGGCAAGTTTGATGGATCGATGAGTCAATGTTGAACTGTATGTGGAGGAATCATGTGTTGTTGGACGAGCTGCACATAAATGCAAAGCTGAATGGAGATAGTGTCTTTTCAGATGATTTGCCACTTAATTGATTCCTGTGTGGTAATAAGTAGAATAGTAATATCCTTGAAGCCAATAGAGCACATGTGGTACGTGGTTTTAAAGAGCAATTTAGTGAGCAATGAAAGTGTCACATTTATAATTTAGAAGTTGCCTTGTGTACGCTGTTAATCCTCATGTAAGATTCAACAAGTTGTGAAGAACAGAAAATCTATCTATTTTGACTGCAGTAATCCTTGACAAAGTAAATCAGACCTTAATTTCAGCTGTTGTTGAATCAGTGAGGTGGCCTTTGCTGTTTGCATTGCCGCTGTGTAAACACAATGGTGGAACACTGGGATTCCAGATGTTGCATTCAGTCATAAAATGAGCGTCATACTGCGAGTATTCTGTTCAACGTGTATCATTTCCAGTCTCCCTAGAGAGAGAGAGGGGGGGGGGGTGGGTAAAATAACATGTTCTCTGTCATTAATCAGGTTTACAACACCTCGGCCTTAACTACTGTATAGCTCTACAATGCTACTTAGCTGCAAAAGTAAAGCAGCATGTGCACTAACAGAAACTTACATTCCTTTGACTTGATCATTTTTGACTTATAATATATAATTATATTCTTTAACATGCCTCACTTTTCAAGTAGAAGTATTTTTATTTTCACCATGATTAAACTGTTCACTCATTGTTTGTGATGGGAATGGGGTGTCCACAACTGAAGGACTGATGGCAGCTGCATCATTCCCCTGATCAGTTTTGACCTTCAAGAAATGTTTTAAATGGGAAGCCCGCCAAATTTACATATCAAGTAAACAAGTCTGTTTACGCCTAAAAGCCGGGTGCTTTTAGAACAAGAAGACATTTTGTCTTTAATGTTTTCAAGTTGTTGTTTTTGTCCAAATAACTTTGGCTGCAAATCTTTAAAACCATTGGGACCCTGATGCCTAGATACAAAAAAATGACACCAGATTAATCAGAGCGAGTACCTGAAAAGCTTTACTTTTAACTTTCTAACAAGGCATTAAATGTTTGTACTGTGTTACCATGTATTGATAGTCAGAACGCACACATGCCTGCGGTTGGCGTTGTCTTTGACGTCGTATACTCTTACTGAACATTTTGCCTTTGCTGCAGCCTTCCTACGTCGGTTTATCAGAATCATTATCAACAGTTGGTTGGACATTCCCAGCACTCTGTTAACAGCAGAGAGGTTGTACAGAAAGCTCAATGGCCCTGAGCAAAGTGCAAAGTCGACACCCCTTTGCTCCACCAGTATACTAGGATCCACTGATCATCACGCTCACACAATCATAACTGCAGTACATCAGTTCAAAACAGCTGGAGAAGTGCTAAGTAAATTATTGCTGATCTATTTTGTCTGTGGAGAGTTGTGTAAGTTTCCTTTTTCCAGGTTGTATTAACTATTGCTTCACATTCAGATTATGTATCTATTGACTCTTAGATGTTTAAATGTGACTTTTAAGATTAATTGTGATATGTTTATGGATATTTGACTTTACAGTTCAGCAGTATATCTAATGCATGTTGTTAAAAATGAATGTGTATCTCACTTGTAGCTTTTCTGTAATGTGGCATTGATGACAAAGGGGGCAACTTTCGTGTTCAAATGGCTTTTTGTCTCAAACGTTTAGAGATGGAAAATGAGCTGTTTATTCAATGAGTTGATCAAGAGAATAGTGATTAGCAACTGTTTTAATTGTTGATTGTCTTGATTGTTGATTGCTGCGTTTCTTTTCACATGTAATAGTAAACTGAAGATCTTTGGGTTTCATCAGAAGAAAGACTTGAATACATCACGTTGGGCTCGAGGAAATTATAATCTGCGTTTTTCACTGTTTTCTGACATTTTATAGATCAAATAAATAATCGTCAGATTAATCACAAGGGGAAAATATTTGTTATTTGCAACCCTACGAATATGCATCGTCACGCCTGGTGTTAATCAAACATTAAGCTTTGATATGATTGTCTTGATGTCTTAGTGGTGCTAGAGGTCCGCCTACATGTAACGTCTCTTGTGGCTGTGTTCATACAGGAGCGTAGACGGGTAGGACCGGAGCATGTTTGTGACTGTGCTCCTGCTTCTGGTCACTCTGTGTGCCCAGGGAGGAAATGGCTTGGAAAGAGCAGAGGCCCAGAGAAGCGGCCATGTTTCAGTGGTCATAGTGGGAGGCACCGGTGACCTGGCAAAGAAGTACCTGTGGCAGGGCTTCTTCCAGCTGTACGTGAACCAGGTCAGAAGTGGAAACACCTTTTCCTTCTATGGCGGAGGGCTGTCGCCTGCCGACACGGCCACACCGGTCCTCTTCGAGATCCTAAAGGCGGTGTCCTGCTCAAAGGATGTAGCGCCGGAGCGCTGCGCTCTGCTGAAAGAGCAGTTCCTGCGGCTCGCACGGTATCGGCAGCTGAAGACCTTAGAGGACTACCGGGATCTGGCCGAGCACATCGAGCGAGAGCTTCAACAAGAGGGAATGACAGAGGCGGGCCGGCTATTCTACCTCTCACTACCAGCCTTTGCATACGTAGATGTTGCTGATAAGATAAATAACAGCTGTAGGCCGGCCGGCGGGGCGTGGCTGAGAGTGGTGCTAGAGAAACCCTTCGGACACGGCTTCAGGAGTGCTCAGGTACTTGCGACTCAGCTCGGGAGCTCCTTGAAGGATGAAGAAATGTACAGAATTGACCATTACCTGGGGAAGCAGGTAAGAGAACCTCACAGTGTGTGGCCCGTCACCCGTGAGTCTGTAGTTGAGATGTTTGAACTCATGGTGTGTTTTTTCTGTGAAAAGGTTGTTGCAAAGATACTTCCATTCAGAGTAGAGAACAGGAAGTTTCTGGATCCCATCTGGAACAAGCACCACATCGAGAGGGTGGAGATCGTAATAAAAGAGACCCTCGATGTCAAAGGTAATTTAAAAATTGTGTAAATGATGTAAATGGGGAAAAAAGTAGCAAGAATTCAATAAATATAATCATGTGTTTTCTCTCATTTGTCCTCTAGGTCGTATATCCTTCTATGACCAATACGGGGTGATCAGAGATGTGCTACAGAACCACCTGACTGAGGTCATGACCCTGTTGACGATGAGGCTTCCCATGAATCTGAGCAGCAGTGAAGAAGTCCTCCAAAAGAAGCTGCAGGTCTTCAGTTCCATACTGCCTTTGAGAAAGAATCAAGCTGTGGTCGGCCAGTACCAAGCGTACCAAACGACAGTCCAGCAGGAGACGAATAAGACCAAAGATCACGTCAGTCTCACGCCGACATTTGCAGGTGACGGCTTTTCTTTTTAATCGTCATGATTTGATGTGTTCTTCACTGTTGTAAAACACTTGCTGTACGATGATTACAGTTCTTCTAATAAGTGATCCTGTTTGTGTCTTTCAGCTGTATTGGCACACATCGATGAGGCCCAGTATGAAGGTGTGCCAGTTCTGATGATCTCAGGGAAGATGTTAGATGAACGGGTGGGATATGCACGCATACTTTTCAAGAATGACATCTTTTGTCTTCAGAACCCCAGTGGCGTCCACTGCAAGCCCAAACAAATAGTTTTCTACTTTGGGCATGGCAGCCTTCAATATCCAGCAATTCTTGTGAGTAAGAATTTGTTCAGGCCAGTTTCGATGGACGGTGATTGGAAGGAAGTGACGGAGCATACAGATGTCAATATTCTAGGTTTACCTATTTCAGACTATTATGTGCAAACTCCAACGGAGCAGAAGGAAGCCTATTCACAACTTATTTCTCACATTTTTGCTGGACGTAAAAATAGTTTCATTAGTGCTGAAAACCTGCTGGCTTCCTGGGCCTTATGGACACCACTGCTCGACAGCCTGGCCGGCTCTTATCCCCGCATTTACCCCGGGGGAGCCGACAATGGAGACCTGCTGGACATCCGTGTGAATGGTAAAGACATTGGCTACAACAGTGAGGTGGTGATAATCAGCCCTGAGCAGATGGGTGGCGCGTCGGCAAACAGTTTCCAAGTAATGCAAGGCAAATTTCGTAGCGCTGACATGGTGTCGGCCTGGGCCGAGGAGCTGATGGAGAGGCTAGCTGCGGACATTCAGGAAGCGGCGGAGGCAGCTGTGCTCGAGGGCGGTGTTTTCCATCTTGCCATCTCTGGGGGGTCCACTCCCCTCGCTCTGTTCCACAGGTTGGCCCTGCACCACTTCTCCTTCCCCTGGAGCCACACCCATGTGTGGATGGTGGACGAGCGGTGCGTGCCACTGACTGAACTGGAGTCTAACTTCCACGGCCTGCACGACCATCTCCTCCAACATGTGAGGATACCCTATTTCAACATCCACCCCATGCCCGTGCAGCTCAACCAGCGTCTGTGCGTGGAGGAGGACGGAGGAGCGCCGCTGTATGAGAAGGAGATCAGCAAGTTGGTTAACGGCTCCAGCTTCCACTTTGTGCTGCTGGGAGTTGGCTATGACAGCCACACAGCCTCTCTGTTCCCTGGCAGTAAAGTGGATGAACTCGGGGAGAGTCTGGTCGCCCTCACCGAGAGCCCCGTCAAGCCTCACCAGCGCATGAGCCTCACTTTCAGCGCCATTAACCGAGCTCGTGCCGTGGCTCTTTTAGTGATGGGCAAAGGCAAGCATGAACTGATCACCCAGCTGAGCCGCGTGAAGGACAACCCAGACAAGTGGCCTGTCACCGGGGTGAAGCCTGCTGACGGCAGGCTTGTTTGGTACATAGACTATGATGCACTTTTAGGATAGGAATTACAAACTGTCAATTAGACCATTTCTTTATGAGCCAGCAGGATCAGTGGGTTTACATGTTTTTAGCTTATTAGCCAGAATTCCCTTCAAGCCCCCCTCCAAAGCTATTCCCCCAAAATAACCATGATGAACGTAAACAACAAGCTATTGTTAGTACTCACGGCCGTCAACCTGCTTGTGAAAAATTCCGGTGATGTGCAATGAGTGCAGGCAGACTGATTACAGTCCTGCTACAGCCACAGATACCAGATATAGATTGTTTTCTATGATTTATTGCTTTCTATCGGGAAGTAATCAGACTTTTAATAAATACAACAAAAAAAGTTTCTAGAATACATAACCCACCCTAGCTCTTGCATTGCTGCTGTATTTACGTGTGTACGTTATGCAATGAGGTTTCTGGCAGGAATGTCGAGTATCTACAATCTGTAGTTAATGGGTTAAGAACAACTGTCACAGCTGCCTCTTTTGCTGAAAATGACTTCAAATCTTTGTCTGCCTAATTATGTATGAGATGAGTGAAAATCTAGAGCAATACATCACTATCATCGTTTACAGAGTGTGTAGCACTTTATGCATATCTGATGTCGTAAACGTCTCGTGCCAAAAAGCAATTCCGACAAACTGTTTTTGATGATTCATTACTTCTAATCCAGGGTGTTTGTCTGATCTCAGGGGATTTTGTGAATCCACAGATATGCTGTTCACTTCTCGATTGTATGTTTTCTATTGTTGCGTGGCAGTGACCCGCGTGAATTAGTGCGTTAGAAAACACTGTGTGACTGGTCCCATTCATAATGTAATATTTATATGTTTATTATTAATATATGTTATTGGAATACTTCAGGTAATTCAAAATATCGGGTGCTTCATTAATAAAACGGCACATTTCTGACCCGTTCACATTCCACTGTAAAAACAATGTGGAAAATAGAATAACTAGAATATTTTAATACCTGTAGTCCCAACAAGAGCAGCTTAATGTTTATTTTACGTACCTTCTTTAGATTAAAGAGCCACTGACTTTCAGCAGTCGTGTTATTGTGTTTGATCCGTTAGAGGAGACATTGTCCTGCATCCTCCTAAAACAGTAAAGGCCTGTAAAGAACAATTTGATAATAGTCTCTGTGTTTTACAGTCAATACATCTACAAAATGTTTCCCCCGTGCATTGTAAGGTGAGCATCACATGTTGTTATTTAGATTTTCTTTCCATTACTATCATTTTCCATTTTGTGAAAGTTCAAAACTGATTAAAATTGAACACATTTCCTTTGAATTTTCTTGCTATAATCTGTTTAATGTAGCTTTACTTTTCCAGTGAGATAAACCTCTCATTCAGTACTGTAATAATTATTATACAGTCAATCTACAGCGGTAAAGTACATATTTATTAGCGTATGACTGATTGTTACATGAAACAAATGTCCAACAAAACAGCTTTGAACAACCGAGAGAAACGCCTGCTTTGTGATGTTTTCCTGAAGTGAGCGTTGAAACGTGAGGAGGATTAAGTCACTTTCTCATGGTTTAACGTTACCAGCTGCTGGTGGCACGGAAACCACATGAAATCTTAATGTGTGGCGTATCCGATGTCAACGTGTGACAGCTGGACTGCTATACTGCTCATTGTTTCTGCTTGGGTCCGTCACAAGCTTCCTGTGAGTCAACCAGAGTCCTCCCCTCACCATGAAGACACCTGAATAGACACAGGCAGGTGTTACTCCTTTTTGAACAGAAAGTCCGGCGTACGAATGGTTTTCTATAATTCATAAGAAGTGTTCGTCACCTGTACTGAAAATAGAAGCAGCAGTTAGAATAAGGGAGATGTAGTACAGCTCCGGGGTGGTTCTGGCCTGTGAACATACACATGTAAAAAGTTTGGATGCTGCAGTTTCTCTACGTAACCTGATGATAACGCTTCAGTCGTTGTCTTACACATGCTGCTGCTGTCAGAGTCAGGATGGCGGTGCATAGTCCTTGTCCACATGTCAGCAGCCCAAACACATGATAGGAGGCCCACAAGCTCTGAGGAACTGGGTCTACCAATGTGAATATCACGCAAAAACCTATCGGAAGATTTGAAGTTGTGTCCATATTAATCTCTTTTATGCTTGTGTTATGTCCTGCATGTGTTTTCTTTGAAAGTGTCTGCTGTGATGGGCTTTACCTGAAGCTACGAAGGACAGGGCGATCGAGGCACATAAGTTGTTCAGAAGAGGCTGCCTGCAGTATCTTGAGGACGTTGGCCTTTAAACAGAGAGGACGGCATGATTAATGCCACGCTTCCTCTTGTACAGATGACCCATGAGCTCTACGGCTCGATTTCATCACCTGTGCTCTAGTTACCTTCCCATGACGTAGAACTGAGGGACCAGGACAAGTGTCACGAACACTGCATTCACTATTTGACTATAAAATAGCATAAAACATCACAGTAAGGACATACAGGGTATTTTATTCGTTCAGATCAAAACAGAAACGTGACTAATGAAAACAGCACTTACAATTTTAACCTCTGATTCCTCGGTATCCATCTGCTGCTATGATACGCCATGAATATCAGCATGTAGAGAAACATGGACGGTACACACTCAGGCAGACTTTACCGTCGCCCTACTCCTGATGGCTGGATGTGTTCTGCTGAGGAATTAAGTGCTCCAAATGTGAGCAGAGGGGAGGATTGTATTTCACGCTGCACATGCACAGAGGCCTCTGCTGCATATTGTATTCCCTGCAAGCTCAACATCTGCACATTCACTTAAGCTTGAAGATTAGGTTGCTTTGGTAAATGTAAGATGTAAGAATAACGCCCGGTTGTAGAGGCTTTTGTCTTAACAGGAAAAGAATAGTTTCCCCACATTATGGGTAAAAGGTCCCGTTCCGCCCTCCAGTGCTCCTCCTTTGTATGTCTCAAAAATAGCTGCATCACCCTTACCCCATATTGACACACAATGAAACATCCCTCCCATTCATCTTATATCTGTTTGCTCTTTGGTACTCATGCGTTAGAGAGTCAGAGAGTCAAACCTGTAAAGATGCCTGTCGACTACAGCGGGACGTGGGACATTGTCAGCAATGTCAACTTTGAGGGCTACATGGTTGCACTTGGTAGGTGTCACCGGTTCTTTGTTTGAGTGTTTTTTTGTTTTCAATGAATGTTAAATTATTTATGAGGAAAAGATGTATGTGTTGTGGATGGAGCAGGTTAACGCTTGTGGGTGTAAAATTGTCCGTCATAGTAAATTAATGAGAAAGTATTTGATTCATCATCAGTGAACATTTCTTAGTGTGGATGTCCTGAAGAGTGTTACATATGCAGTGAAAGTAAATGTTCATTTATTTTCTGATCAGAGCATGACGTGCGTGGTGGCGTGGTAAAGTTAACATTAAAATAATTCCTCTCACTTTGACACGCAGGCATTGATTTTGCAACTCGCAAGATTGCCTCGCTGTTGAAGCCCCAGAAAGTGATTAAGCAAGACGGAGATTGTTTCATCATCAAGACGTTCACTACTTTTAAAAATTACGAGAGTTCGTTCAAAATTGGAGAAGAGGTCAAAGAGGTGACTAAAGGGATGGACAACAGGTCATGCCAGGTAAAAACATTAGTCAAATGTAATATTTTAGTCACATTTTTATGTAATAATCACTACCCAAATACAAGACAATAAAAGCAAGCAAATGATTGTTTTGTGTGGCTCTACTGTAAAAAAAAAACAACATATTTATATGTAGTTTTATGTATTTGTATTTCATGTTTGTTCTCTATCAGACGGTGGTCAACTGGAAAGATGATAAGCTGGTGTGTGTTCAGAAAGGAGAAAAGAAGAACCGAGGGTGGACTCACTGGATTGACGGAGATGAGCTTCATCTGGTAGGACTAGTCTTTATTCTGGTGGCCCTTACTGTCCAGTTAGTGTTTGTCATAAACACTTTGTAAAATTCACTGTAAACGTCATTATTTATAGTATTTTGTGGACTCATGCGCATAGAAAATGTATATATTAATTGGTTATGCACAAAGAAAATGTTGCCTCCCCTGAAAACGGATACAATTCATGCAACTATATGATCATTTTAGCTTCTTGTTTTTACTGAAGTATGTTGAAAGATTTTACAACTTCATATTTTCTCTCCTCAGGAACTTACTTGTGAGGATCAAGTCTGCAAGCAAGTTTATAAAAGGACTCTGTGAACTTGTCTTTTAAAACACTACCACAGTATTTCCAAGAAATTAGATTGCATAAAAAGCCACACAATATAGTTTATATACTTCATAAAGAACATGTCATTTGAGTGTGGGCTGATGTGTGTGATTAAATGTATCCACGTTGTAGTACCTCCTCCGGGCCACACGGTGTCGCTGTGTATTAAACATTGCGTTAAACTCGAATGTTGTCTGTTGCCGCGAGTTTTTGTTTTTCACTTGAAATATGTGTTCACAAACTGCGTCTCGTTTCTTCTGTCACACCTTAATTCTGTGAGAACTATCCAATCTTTCTAACTCAATTGAAGCCGCTGTGATTGGAAGAAAATGTCCGTTGATGAAGACGAGACTCGGCAGGTAAGAACGTTATTGACCGTTAACGGTAGCTAGCTACATATCCGTCTGGTACAGCAGCAGACAGGTAATACATCTAACGTTATATTGATGCATTATATTTCTTGTAATCTGATGAATTGTTTTGAGTTCAGAGGTTAAAGGCAGCCGTCCATTATGCTGTGGGTCGCATGTGTCAGAGGATGAGAGAGGACCACCGGAGAGACTTCAGCCGACAAGTCGTAGCAGCGATAGCCGAGACAACCTTCAGACAATGCGGTGGGTGTCCAGCAGACACCACCAGAGACTTACAGTACATACAATATACAATATACATATATGTATATATATATATATATAGTATAGAGTATAATCTCTATCGGTGTACCATGTGCTGAAATATCAAAACACATCATTACAAAGCACAACATTTGCAATATTTGTACAACTTACCAAGATATCCAGTTATGTTGGGTATATTTGTAAAAGTACTCATTATGCAGACTGGCACTTTACACAATTGGATTATATCAGCGAGACTGACATGATGTATTTATTATATTGTGTATTTATTATAGTGTATTAAACAGAAGCTGCAAAGTAACTAAATCAAATCACTTGTAATAAAGTAAAAAGTACATTCCTTCATTTTGACATGTGGTGGAGTAAAGGTATAATAGAAGTAGCATAAAATGGAAATACTCCAATAAAGTACCTCAATATTGTAATTTTGTACAGTACTTTAGTGAATGTACTTGAGTCGAGTACCTGCGCTGGATTATATTTCAGTGTTTGCATTATTTTTTTTACTCATTGTTTACATGCCTTTATCACACAGTTCTCAACCAGCACGCAGCCCAGTATAATAGATCCATCTCACATCCAGAAGGCTCTAATGCAACCAAAACACTTCATAGACATCTCAGCATCAACTCATTCTACTGTCACTTAGCCTAAATGTTAATACTGAGGTATCTTGGTGCTGTAGTGCGTTGAGCCCGGGCCAGGACCTCTTGATGTGTCTCACCTCATTTCCTGTCGGCTCTCTAAAGTCTTTCTGTCGTATTAAACCAACATAATCATTCTGACAAATGCCCTAAAGGACTAACATGGTGGCATTACGTTGATATCACTTAAACCTTCAGAATATGTTCCCTAAATATCTGAAATCCTGCAGAATGTTTTGTTTGACTTTTTTTGCAGTTATTCCAAAATGCACAAATTAAGTTATTCCAGTAAAGTGTGTACAACACATGTATATCATAGCTACTGCTGTAACTCATATATAGAGCAGCGCTACACAACTCTGTCCACAGCTTACTGTCCACGTTTCCTCTCAGCTGTTCAGACATCCAGCCTTCATTGTTCTGTCACAACACACTTGTCTCCGTCTCATGGCCACTCTGCTTTCTCTCTCTCTGTGTGTGTGTGTGTGTGGAAACGCTTCCAGAAATTTGCTCTTTTGCTGTCTACTTGTATTTGTTATTTTATACAAAGATGGTATTTAAAATGTGGAAACAAAGCTTTAAAAACACGATGAATTTTTAGTTATTTTAGTTCTCTAGCTTCCAGCGCCACAAACTGCTGCCGTGTTGACTGAAGAGTACTGAGAAATATGTGTAACTAACTGTAAATAACTAATATTCTGACTCATGTACATATACTCATGTATACTTATGTATGTAAAAGTATACAGCTGGACAAAATACCATTAATAAGTCATAACTATTTCATAATTGGCACAGGTCAATCTAAACTCAACATCCTCTCACTGTTTTCAGATATATTTGCTAAAGACCTGGAGGCCTTTGCACGGTGAGAATCTTTCTGTTACCAGATCAACAGATGAGTTAACCATGTGCTGTCTTTTAATTCATATAATACCTGGTGAGGTCTTTTGTCTCGGTCTAAGCTAGTAGAACTAGTATAATCTCCACTTTCTATAATACATCTGATTTACACTTTCATGTTTGATTTCAGGCACGCTAAAAGAAGCACCGTGTCTTCAGAAGACGTGAAGCTCGTCGCCCGGCGTAGTACTGCGTTGGTGAGTTAATTCTACTCGTCAGAAAGGAATCACACAACACGTCTTTAACTCACGAGTCACCAAATCAAACACATTTCAGTTAACCACTCAAACACACTGCATCCTCATAATGCAGAATACTGAATATATATATATATATATATATATATTCATTCATTCTACAGCAGACAGCAAACATAATGTTTAATTTGCCTTTATTTATTTCAGTTGATCCACATACAAAATAAAAGTGAAGAACTGAACCTGGAGCAGCGGGATTTGAAAAAGAAGAATACTGGGAAGAGGAGAAGCAGAGACACTGAGGAGAGCAGAGAATAAGGACAAGACAGACCTGCAGTCTCACTGGCGCCCAACATTCAAATAAACATGAAAGCCCACTAACACATGACAATAACTTCAGTGCCACTGTTTATGGTAATTAGCATTCCACAGAATTAAATCTTATATAAAAGTCGTTTTATGTACACTGTCTGGTTTGGAGAAAATAACTTCTGACTTATTTGTCGTGGGTCCTGTTGATGCATCGTCATGTCGTAGTGCATTGGCACTATTATGACAAACATGATGTATGCAACATTATAAAGTATAAATAAAGATACAATAAAGAACTGTGCTAAACAATATACCTGCCTTGTTTTTCCAAACCGACAAATGAGCCGAATGTTTTTCACACTTCGGGAAAACTCAAATGTAGTTACTGTCAGGCAAACTATCCATTATGTACACTCGGTGACCACTTTATTAGGTACACCTGCATAATCAAATGCAATCCAATAAATCTACTCATTTCTTTGACTTTTTTGTTGATACTTTGTTAACCTATGACCTCCACAGTTAGTGTTGCTGTTCTACACTATATTCAGGCGTCTAATCTTCCACCCCCTCGTGTATGTAAATGAGGACCAAACATTAGAGACATCCCAACATAATGTAGCCACCACCAATGACCTCAGAGTTAAACATTGAATTTACACATTTACAACAATGTCTATAAAATGCAACATGTTAAACTCCCTAAATGTAGACATGACGGTTGGATTGAACAGGTGGAGCTAGAAAAGCAGCACTAAGTGCATCTGGCCATCTAAAAATCACCAATTACAAAGCTCAGCAACGTGCCATCGTTTCATTACTTAAAACAAATCGAAGACAACTAAACACTCTTGAGGTGATGACACATTGTTGAGCTCATCTACATACAAAGAACCCTTCAGAACTTCCCTCCCAACTTAAAAGTAGCTGTGGAAAATCAAAAAGGGATCATTAACTCGGACAAGCTATCAAATGCAGCAAAAAGACAGGTACTACCCCGTGTCATGTCTGAGAAGGCCGCACACACTGAAAGTGTTGCAACTTCCGTCTTCATCCTTCAGTCAGGGTTCAAACGGAGACCTCGACCAGCAGAGCCCAAGGTCCCTAGATATGTGAATCGAATTAGATGGTTTTTTATTTGACAAACTGACCCAATTAATTATCAACTAAGCATCTATTCAAACGAACTTTATTATAGAACTCCCTTCAATTGACATGTTTTTAAACACCTCACAAACACGAGAGCTACTGGGAGCTATTGGACACACCACTCCACGTTCTCACACTATCACTCGCGTCCCCCAGAGTCTTCAGCAGGTTGTCATCCACATCAAGTACACACTTACAGATCAGTTCAATAACAGGAAAGCACACGCCATACAGCATTCAAATCAGATAACAGAAGCAGTACAAATATTCATCACAACATTCCACTACATTTTGATATTTCTGCACTTGATCAACATACTTAATAAAAAGTAAGGGAAAACTTGCAAAGACTTTTAAAAAAAAAAAAAAAAAAAAAAAAAAAAGGAAAAATCTTGAAGTACTACTTAAAGAATGTCCATGTTAGGGGAGGCGCTCGCAGCGTCTGCAGCTTCCACTCACACATTCAGAAAGCAGTCAAATTGGGCTCTTTCACTGCACAGCCAGTCCGTTTCACGCGTGTCTCCGTTCGCTCACTCATCGCTTCACTCTTCGCCACAAGCCATCCTCAATCGCACTCATCAGTTCTTAAAATGTCAGTTGCGCCGTTCTTTCCATTTTAAAAGTGGATAAAAGTGAAAACACCCACCGTCTCTCAGAACATGCGGAGTGAAGCCGTTCTTTGATGGCATAGCATTTACAGGTGGGAAGAGGGAGAATGATACCGATATCACCCCAAGAATGCTGCCAAAGAGGAGCTTCCTCACAGGAAAATGGAAGAGAGGTGAACTGCAGAAGAGATTTCAATGAAGGCGTTTCCACAGAACTTGACTGTAAATAAAGTTGCACTTAAAACATTTAGCTTTCAACCAGATTCTTCCCAATGCAAGATTGCCTTTTAAGTTGATGACAAAGCCGGATAATGGTGAAACACAAACATTCATGCATTTTCAAAATGGTTAACACATTTCACAATACATGCATTAGAGAATCCAGTTGAAATGGATACAAACAAATGAGACATCAAAAATAGCACTTTCGTCAAACATCCTGGGAAACGATTCACTTCAACACTTTCTAAATTAAATCTTTAGCATTTTTTCCAAATGTACAAAACATCTTCCACAAAAGTGTTAAGTTTTCAGATACGCATCAACACCAGAAATTAACTTTTAAAAAGACTCATCTCTGTCACAATACTTACCATACAAATAATTAAATTACATACCCCACCCAGATGACTTTGACTCCATACTGGACCCAAAACCTGAACTAAACCCACTACCGCTGGTTGCAGAGTTTGACCCTGTTCCCCAGCCGAGACTGGCTGAGCCGGTGCCGTAGTTGCTGTTGCCGCCTGCACTGAAAGACTGACTCTGGTCCCGACTAGAACTGGTTCCGCTGGGGGTGCTGCCTGAGGTGGATGTCTGCTGCTGGCTAGCCAGCATACCCATCATCCCCCAACTACTCTGCAGGGCCGCCTGAGCAGCAGCCATCATAGCAGGGTTCAGACTGAAGGAACCAAAATTAGCCAGACTACTGTTAGTGCTGCTCCCCCCTAACCCACTACGGCTGCTGCTACCACCACCACCACCACCACCACCACCACCACCACCAAATGCTTGAGCTCCAAAACCATTCCCAAACCGCGTTGTACGATCAAACTGCCTATTGCCGTGTTTGGGCTCAGCATTTGAGATGTGAACACTGACACCTTTGATAATCAGGTCCTCGCCACAAAGACCCTGGGCAACCTATGAGGGGGGAGGGAAAGAAGACATGAATGAGGTCATCTGGGCAATGGTACCACTACAGCAGGAGGTACTTTCTAAAAATGTAACAGTATACCTGATCATCTGCAAATGTGACAAAGGAAAAAGCCCGGAATGGCTTTGGGATGAACACATCTGTGACTTCACCATACTGCATGAAGAACTGCCGTAGGTCGTCGGTGGTCATGTCTTCTGTGCAACGGCCTACAAACACTTTCCGGCTCCTCAAAGGCTCATCGGGACCCTGCTGTACCCAAAAGGGACAGAAATAAATACTCCAGCTTATAGAGTAATAACAGTTTTGTATTCCCATAAAGTGTGGGGATACACATGGACATTACCAGATTCACCTTTGAGTTAGGGAGCTTGCAGTCACACCATCTCCCGTCAATCATGTGGCGCTGGGAGACCACCTTTTCTTGTGACTCATACTCTGTAAATCTCACAAAGCCAAATCCTTTGGAGTTTCCAGTCTTGGCGTCTCGTTTTACCTGAGATGAAGAAGAAACATGGAGCAATGAAGATCCGTTGACACCACGTACAACCTAAAGCAATGTGCGTTTCTATTACTATTAGTAATGTTATACCTGGACCATGATGACTTCTCCAAATGTGCTAAAGTAGTCTTTCAGGTCCTGCTCACTCGTTTTCCAAGGAAGACCCAGTACGATCAGATCAGACGTCTTCATGTCGCCCCTCTTCATTTTCACAGCGGAGGAGGCGTCAATCTCTTCCATTTTCCTTTTGTTGTCTAAAATGTGATCAACACAGAGGAATTCATTAAAATACAACTTAACGTGCCATCACTACCCTGATTTTGATAATAATCAGCAGGAACAAAGCTAGATTCCAGTTCTATCAGCAAAATATGCAATTAATATTTTCTATTTATTGTTTCCACTGTCCTGCTAATATTTTGCTAAATGTTTGAACTTATTTTGTACAACTGTTTCACAAGAGCCTAATTGGTTTTAAAACAATTAACAAATAGGTGTTAACATGCATGTCTTTCATGTAATTGATTTTTAATGATTATGCAGTTGCTAGAACGTAGTTTATTGGGTACATATAACATACTACAATACCCTTCCAATAAACCCTACTTTCAAACTAATCCCATGTTTATGTAAATAAAAAATAACATTTTAAAAACGTATTTTCAACTTTATGGTGATTTTAGACGATGCAGTATTATGTCCAGATTAAGGCATAATATTCGAGGTGTTTTCTAATACTTTGACATCACATCTATATCTTTGGCAGTAGTAGACTTAACATTACAAACAGATATGTATAATTCAATACAAGTCATGGACACCAACAACTGCATTCTCTAGAATGACCAGAATGTTAACTGGAGTTTCAATAAAACATGTAATGTTAACCTCCAAGAAGATAGCATTTCTTGCAGTGCTGCTGTCTAAATAGATTGCCAACTTCATAAATACAAAACGTTGATCTTGTTTTGTTTATTTTTGTGAATACAGGTTGTGTCGTAAAGTGCACGTTTGTAGGCGTGGACAAACTACAGGTCACGTCATTGTCATCCATTTTCAGTGCGCTGAAGCTACATCATGAATTATAAATACCCTCACATACCTATTCGGGTAAAGTGTTACGTGAAGGTAAAACGAATGCAACGTGGTATATCTACCTTTTGGATAGTTCACCACATACACCACGTTCCCCCATCCGTTCTCTGGCGCGTGGAGGACCCCTTCCACGAGACGCACTCCTCGCATGCACTGAGACACGGGGCTCCTGAAGCGTAGGCCGCACGCCCCTGGGAACTGAGCGGCCACAGTGGAAAGCAGAACCGTGCCGTCGTCCTCGGACGGTATCTCCATGGGTTCCTCGTTTTCCTCCTCTGCCACCCGAATATAGACTTCCGCCATTTTGCCCAAACAGAAAACTCCTCCCGCGAATCAAAACAATGCTAACGGTTAGCAATCAGCAGCTCGGTTGGTTGTCCACAATAACGACTAACGGTAGCCGATGTTGCTAACAGCACTGTAGCAGTCACGCCAATTGGTTCGTTATATTTTAGGAAAAGACGTGTCAAATTAAAATATAAACAAAAAAGGCTTTCAGAGGGGTTAAACCTCGAGTTATTTTATAAATAATATTCGCACCGCTCGCGAGCGTGCATCGGCCTTGCTGTTCCTTTGTTCGTCGGGACCACAGAGACCTGTGTCGTTACACTGGACAACTACCGTGCAGCTGCGCCGCGTGATAACAACTGCGCACGGCCCCACGCTAACTGATCCAACAAAACGATGTCCTCGATGCTAGTGTGGCTAATGAAGTTATCCAACTGCAACAAAACGCTTGTCTCGTCTCAAATGCACTGTTAGAAATGCAGCGAGGGATATTTTTTTTCCACGAGGAGAAATATGAAACCACCATGTACGGCCTACCAAAATGGCTTGATCCAATCGAAAAGGGAACTACGTCATGAGGCTGGACGGTTTCATTTCATGGTGGTATTTGTGTCTAGAGTGTGTCGTTAATATAGGAAAGTATAAATCATAGGTCTGTATGAAGTTGTGAAACCAACACCCAGGATGTGAAATGTGCTTATTGTTTGTATGGAAGATTACACAACTCGATTAATTGTATTGTTGATATGTAACTATATTTTGCTTCCCCCTCCCCGTAAGGGAGTATGGTAGGCCAGATTTCCACTAGCTTCCGTGTTTTATGTTGTTGCAGAGATGGGAAGATGGCGGTTGCAATGAGCCGCAAGTGCGTAATTTCGTTGGAGACACGGCATATAAATTGTATATATATATATATATGTGTGTATATATATATATATGTGTATATATAAATTGTATATATATATATATATATATATA